AGTCACCTCTGTCCTAATTCTTACTTTGAGAGAATACTTCATACCTCACAAAGAAAGTATTAATGTCGTCTTTCTGTTCATCAAATTTGGGAAGCGTGGGTTGGCTGGTCCTGACCCCATTGTCATTCTTGCATCCTTCACTTTTCTGTTGGATAAGCTTGGTGACCTCAATTTGTGCTCTTATCCTCTCTATTTCCAGTCTCTCTTTTCCCTCATTTTCTTCTTTCCCAATTTTTATTCTTATTCTTTCTTCCTCTCTTCTCTGTTGATACTCTTTTCTCTCTAGTTCTTGCTGTTGTTTAACAAGCTCTCGCAGATCACCATTTTTGAATCCAAGCTGCTCTCTCTCTCTATCCACTTACCAAAGTCAGTTGACATGGTTATATAGTATGATTGTGATCACTATAATATTTTTGCCACCAATAAAGCTGTGTATATGTAGGTCTATTTCTGTTCTTGTTTACATCTTCTTCTACTACTGCTTACCACTGTAAATCCTAGTTGGCTCGCCACTTTCAGGTTTTGTGTATGTGCTGAATTCTTTACAGTAGGTTTTGTCACTTGTTGACGATCAATTTCAGCAGTCCACTTGTTTTAAAATCATATATATATTAAAAAAGTCAAACATATATATACAAATGTTGGTTACATTGTTAGTTATCACAGTTATCCGGAGTTTTATATTTTTATTAAATTAAGTCTCTTTTTTTGTGAAAGTCCACACAGGCTGGGTCAACTACTTTAGAACACAACTGACAAGACATATTATTCTTCTCTATTCTGTTATTACAATACAATCTGTGATCATTTCACTTTAGAAATCGCCATTATACGTTCTTTATGGTTAAACTCACGATCCCGCAGTCTAGATCTATCCATTCTGTCTAACTCTGTCTTTCTATAAACAAACTCGAGCTACATTTTATACGTGTATTTATAGTCTGACTGACTCCTAGAAAAGTTTACACACTATATGATATTATAATACTCAATCAAAAGAACGAGAAAAACTTCAAACTTAAACAGTCGTGTATATCTAACAATGTTGTTATAGTCTTATTTTCACTAAAATGTTTGTTATGGTGGAAAATTAAAGTTCAAAGAAACATATACCTGCACCAGTGGGATGAAGTTACCACCCATAGGCATTAACTATATCTATTGGAAACCATGAAGGCCGAATTGTATAAATGTGTTGTCAAGCAAAAAATGTACAGCTTGTATTGTTTCACTTACTGTGAAAGAATGGTAATTTTTATTATTAACATTATTACAGAACATCTGTGTTTAATAACACAAAACATTAATCTACAGTTTGAGAGTTTCGGAGTCCATTGTTGTCCTAAACGCTCTATATTCTTCATACTGAGTAGTGCGTAATTTTTTCTGTCATCCAGAACCTGTTTGTGATTTTTTTTTATTCTAAATAATCTAAAGGCAGAAATGGTATAATTATTTTTAAGGCTGCATCTATTGTATTGACATTGTCTAACTAATAGCCCCAGTAATGGTTAAATTGTTATCTTCCAAAACTCAAATGCCCTCCTTCTAACACAGATCCAGTACTTTTTGCTACGTGTCTGTTTGCGATAACCTCAAACTGACAAATGCCATGACACCCACCTACACGTTACTGTAATAGCATATATATATATCATTTTTATAAAGAGCTATTAAACCCGTCCACTTATAAATTTTCTGTTATAGTATCTCAGTGTTGAGGTTAATAACATTATCAAGCAAGCGTGGAAACAGTCTCAAATAATACATTTTTGACCAGCGCATCCCGTGATTGATGTCGTGGCATTGGAAAGTCATTCACCAAATATTTACGTCATGAAGCTATATGATGATTTATGAAAATTTACTTGAAGAAATTAGACTCAGCATAAATTACTAATTTCAGAAAACGTATTTACTACTTACTGGAAATAAACATGAAATCTATTATGAATCTTTACTGATTTTTTTACTATATTAAAAGCCTTAGTATGGGGTATATGTTATGACGGTTTGAAAAATATTAAGTTTTATTGATTGGACGATAGAATAGCGCAATCACTAACTTTCGTCGCTTGATGATTTTCTACAGAATAATATCCATCTTCAGAAAGAAGATTTCATGATGTAATTTCAGTTACGAACCAGGCGAAATTCAGTTTGAACTTAAACAATAGATAGTGAAATAAATCTCAGTATTAAGAAAACATGCATGATTTCTTTTACATTTCTAGACTTTTATCTAAGATTATTTTCGCGCAGAGAAATTGTTGTTGCTGTTTTAGAACAAAGCTACACAATAGGTTGCGTGCACTTTGTCCACTGCAAGGAATCGAACTCCGGATTTAATTATTGTAAGTCCATAAACTTACTGTTTACTCTCCAGGGGACCACGCAGCGAGGGAAAATACAGAGGTAAAGTACATGATATTAAAACGATTTTAGAGCAAAGGTTCTATCGTAAGGTTAGTATATGAAAAGTACAATACTCCAACTTGCTAGTTTTTCCATAATAGTGTATAAAGACGAAGTGCTCGTTTTAACATTCCGATTGCACAGAAATCAGTATGTCTCAATACGGAATGGTATAAATACCCGTTTACTTCTCCAGCTGCTTGAAGTATGAAAGGCTAAACAGATGTGACGTAGAAGCAACTTGTGTCGCTTTTCTAGACGGATATTCTTTTAGATTATGTCGAGTAATGTTGTCTGGGTGGATGGCTTTAGCCTCTGACTTTTCTGTTTGTGGATTCTCAACTGCTACAAGACTCTGCACGTTACTTATCAAGGCTGGGGTACAGCTTGTTGCAAGTCTTGTTCTTGATGGTCCTGATAACCTAAATTGGTCAGTATTCCTTTATTTTCTAATGTCATTAAGTACACAGAATATTTCAGTTTTGAATATTCTAAATCCCGGATCTGATGATCTAAGAGTAAGAATATCTTGCGTCGGAAAGAGCTGTTACAGACTCTTTCCGAAAGCGGTGATATAACATTACTTAACTAACGCCAAACTAAGTCAAAATATAGTTCTGATGCTATCTGTTTCACCGAGACTTTAAATCGGCTGTCAAAATAGTTTTAATATAACGTACTCGGCCCTCTATAGAAAGATACTAGCATCTGTTACGACAGCGAAGGTCACGTGACGCTGGTAACACGTCATGAGATTCTCGAAGGATCACGAATTGTCCTGGCAACTCTAGTCTGTTCCAGTCGCCCTCTTTTTTAGTATATAAACCCGGCAAATAAAGCAGAATTGCATAGATAGAGAGATTGAAGATAGAGATAATCGAGTCAAGCCGTAAGTAAAGTGTGTGAATCCCTGTGAATTATAGCGTGTTTTTATAAAATTAGTTAAGTTAAACTGACTGTGGAAATTCCGTGTATTGCAAAGTTGTATCCAAAAAGAATAAATTAGTT